TGCATTTCCCAAAACATATACCCATCATTTAGCAATGAGTGTGACTGTGTTCTTTAGTCTCATTCCACTGTTACTGATAAACTGGAACACTTTCCCATAGGAACCACAAGAAAAGTGTTACTTATTATGTTTACTGGCCCTGTCATATTTCTTTTCTGAACTATCTATCCATGGTCATTGGCTATCTCCCTAGTAGAATAATAGTCTTTTTCTTTTTTTTTTATCCTCACCCAAGGATATTTTTCCAATTTTTGTACAGATAGAGTGGGAGGGAGAGAGAGAGAGAGAAAAACATCGACGTGAAGGGACACATCGAGTGGCTGCCACCCACACGACCAACCAGGGCCGGGGACAAACTGCAACCGAAGTACGTGCCCTTAGCGGGAACTGAACCCGGGTCTCTCCGGACCGCAGGCCGATGCCCTAACCGCTGAGCCAAACTGGCCAGGGCTAGTCTTTTTCTTAATGATTTATAATTAGTCCTTACAGAGGCTATTAAACTTTTCATATACATGCTGTCAATACTTTCCCCAAGTTCAATTTACTTTTGAGTTTATGGTGGATTTGACATACTGAATTATATTCCAGTCAAATCATTTTTTTCCTTTATCTGTTGGCCTTCCTCAGCCTAAGAATACAGGTTCTTTTTGTAGTAATTTTAAGATTTTCTACATTTAGGAAACTAATCTGACATTTGTTTGCAATATGAGGCAGAGATATAACTTTACCCTAAATAATCAATTGGTTCAATAATCCATCACTTCCCCCCATACAGAATGTTATCTTTACCATCAGTTCACACACACACACACACACACACACACTCAGAGACATCTTCCTAACTTTCTACTCTACACCTTCTTCAACTTCTAATGGCTGTCGTAATGTACAGGTCTCACCACGTTACTGTAGGTTCAGACAGTCTTTGCAACATTTGTGTTGAGAATGTTGCAAATAAATAAGTTCAAAATACCCCTAGTGGAATTTTGATCAAAATCATTCTAAATTTAAGGACTGAGAGAAAATTCACCTTTTAATAAAAAATCTTCCCACCTACAAAGGGAAGTAGTCATCTATGCCTTTCAAAACAGTCAACAGTTGGCCTGGCTGGTTTGGCTCAGCAGTTAAGAGCACCCATATGTGGACCAAAAAAGTTAATTCCAATCTTTATGTAACTTCTGCCTATTTCTTGTCAATTCTTCGAAATTTTATATGTTGGTGCTACTATGAATAAGATCTTAAAACATTCTACTTTCTAACTGATTTATGCTAATATGCGGAAAATCTATGGATTTCTGTGCATTTATTTTTATTCAACCTCCTTATCAAGGTACACTTGCCTAGATTCAGGTTCATAGGGAGTCCCAAGAGAATACTTCTAAAAAAACAAATGCTGGCCCTGGCCGGTTTGGCTCAACGGTTAGAGCGTCAGCCCACAGACCAGAGAGACCTGGGTTCGGTTACCGCTAAGGGCACGTACCTTGGTTGCAGTTTGTCCCCGGACCCGGTCGGGGTCATGTGGGTGGCAACCAGTCGATGTGTCTCTCTCACATCAATGTTCCTCTCTCTCCTCCTCCTCCCTTCTTTCCTCCCACTCTATCTAAGGATAAATGCAAAAAAAAAAAAAATATATATATATATATATATATATATATATATATCCTCAGGTGATGATAAAAAATAAATAAAATAAAAATAAACATAAAAAAAACAAATGTTGATTGGGCTGGTGTAGCTCAGTGGTTGAGCATCGACCCATGCACCAAGAGGTCGCGCGTTCAATTCCCAATCAGGGCACATGCCCAGGTTATGGTCCCAATCCCCAGTGGGGGTAAGGGGGGAGGCAGTCACTAGATGTTCTCTCTCACATCAATGTTTCTCTCTCTCTCTCCCTTCCTCTCTCTCTAAAAAAAATCAATAAAAACATATTAATAGAAAACAAAAAGAATGGCCCTGGCCGATTTGGGTGAGTGGTTAGAGCATCACCCATGGACCAAAAAGTCTCGGGTTCGATTCTGGTCAAGGGCAATACCTTGGTTGCAGTTCAGTCCCTGCCCTGGTCAGGGTCATGTGGGAGGCAACCAGTCAATGTATCTTTCTCACATTGATGTTTCCCTCTCTCTTCCTCACACTCTATCTGAAGATGAATGGAAAAAATATCCTCAGGTGAGGATTCAAGGGGAAAAAAAGAGCATACCAAAGATTTAGTTCCACTTGAGAGATCACAGGAAGTACCAGCTATCAAGATTTAATAAACATTATACATATATAAAATAGCCACCTCAGCTTCACAAGCCCAAATTCCTGTAAAGTATGGAGCATATCTTAAAATAAACTTGTTCTCTGATCTGCTGAGACTAAAACCTCCTTTCTGGGTCCATCCATACCCCATACAATATCCTTTCAACAAGCTCCTCTACAGAATAAGTAGAATGACTGTCGGCATCACTCCATACAAATAGAATAGATACCCTAATGTAAACCATTAACAGTTACTATTGTGATTTAAGATGGCAAACTGAACCACAGATCAATCCTAAGATGTCTCAACATACTTTACTAATATGTGAACCTAAGTAACATTCCCTCAATCCCACTGAGATCATCAAGAACAAACGTAGAGAGCACAAAGCACTCAGGTTGGAAGTGATCTGGTTTTCTGAGTCCACGACTTTCAGAATAACATGTTATTCCCCGAGACATCAGGTGAACAAAGCTGGGCTATGGCAGCAGGGCATCCAAAGTGGTCAGGGATTTGAGGTCACTTCACACAAAGTGACAGTAAGTTACAGGATGATGCACGGCACAATAGGAGGCTAATGAGCACATCCATGGAGTTCCGGGCAGTTATTTCCAATGTGTCACTTGACCCCACAAGAACCCTACAAACGGGGATTCACATTTCATAAATAAGGCAAGAGGGGCTCCAAGGCATTTGACTGATCTGAACCACCCAGCTTATGAGGAGTGGAGTGCAAGTCAAACCTCTCTTCCTGTCCCTACTTCTGTCCTACTACTGTTTTTTACAACAGCTAACTCGGGACTTCAACAGCTTCACTTTCAGGACATGTTTGCATTTGTTGTCACATTTTCTTCCCACAAGATTTCTATAAATTAGATAGAAACAGAGATCAACCACCATATTTCACAAATTTTAGAATGAGTTGAACTAAAACAAAATATTATATGTGAAATCCCTTTGAAAGTATAAAATACAAATGTAAGGTGCTGTTAAAAATATGTGAATTAGTCCAGCCGGTGTGGCTCAGTGGTTGAGCATCGACCCATGCACGAAGAGGTCACCAGTTCGATTCCCGATCAGGACACATGCCCAGGTTGTGGGCCCCATCCCCAGTGGGGGGCATGCAGGAGGCGGCCAGTCGATGTTCTCCCTCATTGATGTTTCTTTTTCTCTCTCCTTCTCACTTTCTGTCTCTAAAGAAAAAAAAAAGTGAATCAGCCCTGGCTGGTTTTCTCAATGGTTAGAGCATCGGCCCATGGACCAATGAGTCTCGGGTTCGATTCTGGTCAAGGGCACGTACCTTGGTTGCGGTTTATCCCCGGCCCTGGTCAGGTCATGCAGGGGGCAAACCAGTCAATGTAGCTCTATCGCATGGATGTTTCTCTCTGTCTTTCTCTCTCCCTCCCTTCCACTCTATCTGATGATAAGTATAAATATCTTCAGGTGAGAAATAAAAAAATAAAATAAGTGAATCACGAAGTTTCTGTTAGCATTACAATCAAGATCACTATTCTGCGGGCATCTCCTAACAGATCATAAAGAACTCTTCCAGCTGGAGACTAACATGGGCTACTTACTCCAAGGGAAAGAGGAGCAGGGAGGCAAGTATCTCACACACGCCCATATGGACAGCAGAGCTCAGAAACCATCTGTCACCTACTCACCCTTAGAAACAGACCTGAAATATGTCCCCTTCCACAGCGACTAGGGACAGTGGTCAGAAAAACAAGCCATCGCCCTGGCCGGTTTGGCTCAGTGGTTGGAGCGTCAGCCTGCGGTACAGAGAGACCCAGGTTCGGTTCCCGCTAAGGGCATGTACCTCGGGTGCAGTTTGTCCCCGGCCCTGGTTGGTCGTGCGGGTGGCAGCCACTCGATATGTCCCTTCACATCGATGTTTCTCTCTCTCTCTCTTCCTCTCTCTCCCTCCCACTCTATCTGAACAAAAAATGGAAAAATGTCCTCGGGTGAGGATAAAAAAAAAAAAAGAAAGAAAAACAAACCATCAAAAGCAAAGAGAACAAGGAGAATCAGCAAGAAGCTATAAAAGAAGGTGTCATGGTGAAGCAAGACTGAGCCCGGGAAGCAGACCTAGCCCGCGGCCAGCAACCCCACTCATGCGAAAGGTCCGGTGAGCAGCCTGCACCACTAGCTGAGAGTCCCAAACTCCTGCAGAGCCAACTATGGGCAGTCTTAACAGTCTGGTCACTGGACAGACGTGTGTTGTTCCAATTACTAAAATAATGTAATCCACAGGATGATTTTTAAGTAATTATAGTCACTGAGTGCCAATTAAATACAAACATGTTATTTACATATCACAATGGTCACAGGTATTGTCTGTCTGACTAGAAAAAGGAAGCACTGCTCATCAGTGTCTGAACAGCCTTGACAGAGAAGCCAGAAGTGTGGGGGCAGGGTCCTTTAAAGCCTTAAGACAACTGGGGAGACAGAGAACAGTCTAGTCCATTAAGAATGAAAACATATACACCTAGCCAGTGTGGCTCAGTGGTTGAGCATCAACCCATGCACCAAGAGGTCACTGATTCGATTCCAGGTCAGGGCACATGCCCAGGTTGTGGTCTAAATCCCCAGTGGGGGCATGCAGGAAGCCAGTCAATGTTCTCTCATCGATGTTCCTCTCTCTCTCCCCCACTCCCTTCTTCTCTCTCTAAAATCAATAAAGGGAAAAAACAATTAAAAAAAAAAGAATGAAAATATATAAAGTTTTTACTTTGCTGGAAGTGCAGAGTGTAATTACCTGAGAGACTGAGCCACTATGTTTTCACATATTGTCAGACAATGATTCACACGGTCTTTCTTGGTGGCTGAGAGTTCTTTCTTTCTGAAAGAAAAAAAGGAAAAGAAGTGAACATGTGTTGAATTATGTACACCATTTATTTCTACACATCATTAATGCATTCAGAAAGCACTTCATGACTACTAGGAATGAACCATAGATTCCGTGCAGGGGGTCGGAGTGGGGTTGGGGCAGGGAGACACAGAGCAGCTCAACCCAGGGCTTCAACTACATTGCTCCGCAGCAAAGTCAGGTGATGTTACTAGTGCACCTTAATGTCCCCAATTTAATGGAGGAATTGCAGTGCAAACAGTGACTTGTCCAAGATCTCAGTGGTAGAAGGGCTATGCAATGCAATGAAATACAATAGCATAATACCTATTCTGGATACCTAGCTGCCTCCACTCCTCACAATCGTATTGCTCACAGACTGCCGTCAGCAGCCCACACAGACCTCATGATCTCTGTTAGGTATAAATTCTAGACGATGGCTAATCACTTCTATATCCCAAAACAGGTGAAAATAAGCCCCCTGCTCAGAACCTTTCTCAAAAGCCTCCTACTGAGACTTCTCAGCCAAATAAAAGGAGATAAACAGCCAGGAGAAGATCAAATTAAAGGTGCTTGCTCTGCCACCGCTTCAGATGTCTTCAAGGTAAGCACCACTGAGACAGAGTAGAGGGATGAGCCAAAGGGGAAGCCAAAAAAAGCAGGCTGAAGAAGTATATCCAAAAAAAAAAATTTGAGTGTAGTTACCAGAACATGGTACTAACTAGAAACAACTAAACCAGTAGACTACTAGGTTTTTGAGGGAATTCTATTACTAAAGTGAGGGGGGTTAAACCTCACCTACAAACACCTGTGACTCGTGCAACCTTCAAGCTCCAAAGGAACAGGCTGTCACAATTGCATAAAATCCAATGAAGGCAAGCCCTCCAAAAGGCACTGTAGTGGTAGCCAGGAAGAAAACGAGCAAGGAGGAACCTCCTAAGGAAGAAGTCAGGAACCAAAAAGAACAGACGGGTTCCAGGCAGAGAAAAGAGCCAGGGCCTGAATGAGAAGCCTAGTTCAAGGCAAGTGGAGAGGCGCTCCCCAGTGACTGCCCAGTCAGAGCCCCTCATCACATGGACTGGTGAATGTGCGTTTCCCACCAGTCTCCTTCCTGAATGGGCTACAATGACAAGTTATGCTGCACAGTGCTAGTCATCCGCCCAAACTCCCTTCTTCCCTTCTTGGACACATGCCTCCAACCTAGAGGAGGTTCTGTTGCCCCACCTCCCTGCAGCTAGAGATGGAGCCCCTACATGGTTCCCCCAGATGAAACAGGAAAGGAGGTGGTACGTGGGGCAGCTGCCTCGCTGGCTTGCCCTGGGTACCTCCCCTTTCAGCTCCCTCCAGTGGGAACAAACATGCCCAACTCCCATGTTTCTTACAGATAAAGACTTCAAGAAGGCTTCAGGGCAACAGGAGGGAAGGAGCCTGGGCCCCAAAGTAAGCATGAAAAGCAGAGGCCTCCACCTCCCCAACCACCCACTTCAAAAGCTCTATGACAGCCCTGGCCAGTCTGGCTCAGTGGTTGGGGCGTCTGCCTGCGAACTAGAGAGTCCCAGTTTCGGTTCCCGCTAGGGGCACGTACCCCCCCCCCAAAAGAAAAAACCTCTATGACAGAAACAACCCAAATATCCTTCACCTGGTAGATGAATAAAGAAACCCCTCTGGTCTGATAACAGAATTCTGTATTGCTTGGCAGTGAGAAAGGCAAACCGTTAACACATACAAGGGTGAATCTTAATATACCAGGTTTAAGGCTACAAACTGGATGAGTCCATGCCCGGCTGATGTGGCTCAGTGGCTGAGTGTTGACCCATGTGCTAAGAGGTCAACGTTCGATTCCCAGTCAGGGCACATGCCCAGGTTGTGGGCCCGATCCCGAGGGGTTGGGGCATGCAGGAGGCGGCCAACTGATGTCCTCTCTCATCAATGTTTCTCTCTCTCTCTCTTTCCCTTCCTCTCTCACTAAAATCAATAAAGAAAAAAAAAAATTTATTTTTAAAACTAGTTGAGTCCTGCCCTGGCCAGTTTGGCTCAGCGGTTAGAGCGTCGGCCTGCGGTCCGGAGAGACCCGGGTTCGGTTCCCGCTAAGGGCACGTACGTAGGTTGCAGTTTGTCCCCGGCCCTGGTTGGTCGTGCGGGTGGCAGCCACTCGATGTGTCCCTTCACGTCGATGTTTCTCACTCTCTCTCCCTTCCTCTCTCTCCCTCCCACTCTATCTGTACAAAAAAATGGAAAAATATCCTCGGGTGAGGATTTAAAATAAATAAATAAATAAATAAAACTAGTTGAGTCCATACAGGATGTTCTGAAAGAGACAAAACTACAGGAACGACGCCCTGGCCAGTTTTGCTCAGTGGTTAGAGCGTCGGCCTGCGGTCCAGAGCGACTGGGGTTCGGTTCCCGCTAGGGGCGCGTACCTCGGATGCAATTGGTCCCCGGCCCTGGTTGGGTTGTGCAGGTGGCAGCCACTCGATGTGTCCCTTTCACATCTCTGTTTCTCTTTCTCTCTCTCTCCCTCCCACTCTATCTGAACAAAAAAAAATGGATAAATGTCCTCAGGTGAGGATAATAAAAGAAAACTACAGGAATGAAAGTGATCAGTAGTCTCCAGGGGCCAGGACAGTAATTGACAGCAAAGAGGCATGGGCATGGGGAAGGGAAGTTCAGGGAGACAAGACTGCTCCAAATCTTGATTGTGGGAATAGTTACACAGCTTTATGCATTTGACAAAATGCACAGAACTGTACACTAAAAAGGGTACGCTATACCACATGTACATTACACCTTGGTTTTAAAAAGAAAGTGCTATGAGAATTAAAGTGCTGTCTCCTTTAAACCACATACCAGTCCCTGTCACAGCAGCTGAGTTTACCTAGTTCAGGACAGCCATCAAGAAAGTGAAGGTATGGCTCAGCTGTTAGAACATTGGCCCACGGACCAAAGGGTCATGGATTCAATTCCCAGTCAAGGGCACGTACCTGGGTGGCGGGTTCAATCCCTGGGCCCGGTCGAGGTCGTGTGGGAGGCAACCACTCAGTGTGTCTCTCTCACATAGAAGTCTCTCTCTCTCTCTCTTTCTCTCTCCCTCTCTCCCTCCCTTCCTCCCTCCCTCCTTCCCTTCCACTCTATCTAAAAATCAGTGGGAAAATATCCTCAGGTAAGGATTAACCAAAAAAGAAAAAAGAAAAGAACACTGACAAATTTCAGCATTTTAGGAAGCAAACTAAGTCATCTATCCATTACTCTGAATTCCAAGGTGAAATCTGCCCCTAACCTTAAATGAACTGAAGTCACACACACAGACTCCCAGCTGTATGGGCAACGGCCCCTCAACGTGTCAGCCTCTTCCACTGGGTCTAAAACAATTTCTTAAAGGCTGGTAATGAGAAAAAGGCTAACAAACACTACACTAAGTAGACTTCACAACTAAACGGCATTCAGAAAATAAATATTCATGACCTGCCTGGCTGGTGTGGCTCAGTGGTTGTGTCGACCCATGCACCAAGAGGTCACCAGTTCGATTCCTGGTCAGGGCACATGCCCAGGTTGTGGGCCAAAGCCCCAGTGAAGGGGCATGCAGGAGGTGGCCAATCGATGTTCTCTCTCATCGATGTTTCTATCGCTCTCTCCCCCTCCTTTCCTCTCTCTTTCAAATCAATAAAGAAAAAATAAATTTTTTTAAAGGAATATTCATGCCCTGGGTTTTCAGCAAAGTAGGAATCTAAGCAGAACCTTCATCCTTCATCTTCACCTCCAAGCCTGAAAAGGTCCTCAGCAGGTAATTCCCTCTGGCAAGTCCCTCCTCTCTCTGAGCCCAACTTTCCCAACTGGAATGGAAGGGGCTCGGCTACAGTGGGGTGGCAGCCAGGTGTCTTGGATGGGCCGTCCCTGACCAGTTGGCCACAGCTGCCAGCGCACCGCCTGGAGAATATTTTGAGTTCATCTGCAGTCCGCAAGAGAGATTGCGGTGCTGAATGGCTGAGTCCAACATAGGCTGAGGAAGCAGGTGTGCCCTCAGGTTGCAACATTATAAGCGTTTATGAAGCATAAAATGCTCCCTGGACTTAAAGAGGCAGCACTTATAAAAGTGGCACGTGTGGTTAACATTATAATGCAGGGTTTCAACGTGTTCAGCTCCAGTCACCACAGTATCCACAGGAGGAAAAAGTCTCCGGCTTCACACTAAATACTGCGTGCCTGATGAAGTCTGGCCAGGCCCTGGAGCATCTTTCCATCTTCTCAGAAGCAACAGATATAAATATGAGTTGTTTTAGTTTGTTTTTTTATCCTCACCCAAAGACATTTTTCCATTTATGTTCAGATAGAGAGGAAGAAAGGGGGAAGAGGGGAGAAATCGATGAGAGAGAGACATCGACAGGTTGCCTGCTATACGACCCTGACCAGGGCCGGAGACAAGCCACAACCAAGGTACATGACCTTGCCCAAAATTGAACCCGTGACTCTTTGGTCCTCGGGCCGACGCTCTAACCATTGAGCAAAACTGACCAGGGCCAAACATGAGTTTTAAAAAGAACTTTATCTCTCTCCTCATATGTGATAAAGCAAATGAATCCAGTTGGCAATAAACAATGTCGTAGGGGCATTGGAGGCCTGCAGCACTGTTTCATCAAGACCGGCCTGTGCTGCTCCATGCGCAGGACCTGAGCAGGTTCATCAAACTCTGATGCCAAAGACAGAGATGGTGGAATTTCCAAATCCCAGGGAACAAGGCCTACTCCAATTTGGCCTCAGGTTACTTTCTGACCTCCATCCTGGGTCGATATTCCCAAACCTCCAGGGAACACTGCCGTTGAAAATGACTCCCTGGTTTCGCTCATGCATCTTCAAGCTCAATTCAGTACATGCTCCCTGCTTGAAATACCTCTTTCCTGTCTTATTTTGTCCAATAAACACACATGGAAGTTCTATTTTTTCATTCTCCCATAAAATTTATATATTTTTTTATCCTCACGCGAGGACATTTTTCCACT